ACCTCTCCGTGGAGAGGGAATGCGAGGATAGTCCCCCACCTGAAGGTGGTGTCTCTCCCATTGTGGCTGGGTCTGGGGCTTTTGTGGGCTCAGAATGGGGCAGTGTGTGCTGACTGATTTGTGAGTATGGCAAAACAGGCTAAAACAAAGTCACCACTCAAAGGTGGGCATGACAGTGTAAAAAACCAATTAGGGAATGGTAGGTATATATAAATTAGGTAAAGGATGGGGCTCAAACAGAGGAAAGCATGCCAAACAGGAAGAGGGGTACTCAATCCAGTCCATGGATTTATCCAAGACTTGTAGCTTGGCTTTCAGACTTTAAAGTATCTTTGGCTTGAAGGTGGGATTTCACTGGGGACCCTCCCCTATCTGCCTAGGCATCTGATTGCCTTCTGTCACTATCAGTTTCACCATGTTGCCCAGGCTGGTCTTGAACTCTTGGATTAAAGTGATCTGCCTACTCAACCTCCTAAAGTGCTAGGATTACAGGCATGAGCCACTGCACCCAGCCAAAATAATATTTTAAAGAGAAACCAGCTATTCAGACTTGTATTCAAAACTTCCCAATTCTAAATATTGTCTCAAAAAAAAAATTCTTTTGAGACAGGGTCTTTCTCTGTCACCCAGGCTGGAGGGCAGTGGCGTGATCACAACTCGCTGCAGCCTCAACCTCCCAAACTCAAGCAACCCTCCCACATCAGATTCCCAAGTAGCTGGGACTAAGGTGCACACCATTACACTGGCTAATTTTCGTACTTTTTATGGACACAGGGTTTTGCGCAGGGTCTCCAACTCCTGGGCATCCTGCCTGCCTCGGCCTCCCAAAGTGCTGAGATTCCAGGCATGAACCACTGCCCCTGGCCAGCTCAAAAATTTTAAATTACCACGCAGACCAAACAAAACATCTTGAAGCTGAATTTGTTCCAACAGTCTACCACGACGTGAACTCTGAAGTTGACTATCAGATCTGGTGAAATATAAGGAGGTTTCCTGACCTTCAAGGGCAAATCTTGAAGTTATTGGGACAACACTTAAATATGAATCAGTTACATAGAATTGGAGAACATTTGTGTTAGATTCTAGTCTAGATTGTATTCAACATAAAATCCTGGTTTTTTCTATTGAAATAGAAGTAGTTGAAGACTGGTGAATAGCATGTCGAAGACTTGTGAATAGCAAAGGAGAGCACAAAGGGTGAATAATTTGCCTTGAGACTGGTCTTGTTTGCTTTAACTTGGTAGAGCTGCATGGAAGCAACAGGCAGAAGGCATATCTGCAGTGGCACATGGTGCTGCTTCACAGGATTTATAAAGATTTTCTTTCTTTTTAGAGACAGAGTCTCACTCTGTTGCCCAGGCTGGAGTATAGCAGTGTGATCATAACTCACTGCAGCCTCAAACTGCTGGGCTCAAGTGATCCTCCCATGTCAGCCTCCTGAATAGCTAGGCTTAAAAGCGTCTGCCACCACATTCAGCTCATTTTAAAAAATATTTCTCTCTTTTTTTTTGTAGTGGTGGGGTTTTACTATGTTGACCAGACTGGTCTTCAACTCCTGGCCTTTAACTTGAGGTAGCAATCCTTCCACCCCAGCCTCCCAAAGTGCTGGGATTACAGGCAATATTTTCTTTTCAAATATTTTGGAATTCATACTAGAATTCTGTTTTTGGTTGCTTTGTCTCACAAGGTACCACTGGGCTGTACATCTCTTCTGGCTGGAATAAAAGAGATAGAGTGTAGTAATTCTCTTCTTGAAGAAATGTCTTCCTGGGTGGGTCATGTGGGGGCAACCCACTGGGAAAACCAGTTTTATTCTGTACTTCCTTACCATGCCCATACAGGGGCTGAGTACCTGGGTGTAAATCGCTGGGTGGAAAGCTGGTAATGTGGGTGCCACCCTGATGATGGGGACAGAGCAGGAGGCCGGCAAAGAGATGATGATAGGAATCTATGGGCATGGGGTGGAGAAATACAATCACCAGCAAGGAAAGGGTGGCAATAGCTGTAAAACTGGTCCTCTCCACCTTCCTCAGTGATTCCATCTCCTCCTGAGTTCTTACTCTTGCAATTGTATCCTCTCTGACATATATTTAATCTCTCATCTGTATTGGTTCCTTCCTCTTATCCTTCAGTAGACATAAATTTACCCTTTCTCCCCAAAGAGCTTCCCTAATATTTACCTCCGTATCAACTCACTGCAATGTTGCTTCTGCCGACTCTGCCCTTCCACTAAAACTGCCCTCTCTAAGGTTGCTTCTAACCCAGTTGCCAAAACCAATCTTACTTGATTTTCTGCAGCTTTTAGTTCAATTCACTGTCCTCTTCCTGCCTTCCTGGGATTCTAGGACATAACTCCCCAGCTCTCCTACCTCTCTGACTGCTCTTTATATTTCTGCTGGCTCCTCTGTCTTTAACCATACTTTAAACATTACCATTTTCAGAGATAATGCTACCCCCATATGGCATCCTTATAAGAAGTAGTGAAAGAAGCCAGGTGCAGTAGCTCACACCTGGCACTTTGAGAGGCCAATGTGGGCAGATCATGATGTCAGGAGTTCTAGACCAGCCTGGCTAACACAGTGAAACCCCATCTCTATTAAAAATATAAAAATTAGTCAGGCATGGTGGTGCACGCCTGTAATCCCAGGTACTCAGGAGGCTGAGGCAAGAAAATTGCTTGAACCCAGGAGGTGGGGGTTGCAGTGAGCTGAGATCTTGCCACTGCACCCCAGCCTGGGCAACAGAGCAAGACTCCGTTTCAGAAAAAAAGAGCTAGTGAAAGGTACATCATCCTCTGGTGCATGGCTTGGCAAGCAGAGCCCGAACTGCATTTCAGTCCCTACTCACCACACTCAGCCTGGTGCCCTTGTGCTGTGAACACCCTGTGCAACTGCATATTGCAGCCCAGGGCACTATCTGTGGTCTTCATCTCTTTCTTGCTCTATCCTCTTTCCTTCTGTACCCTGTTGACTTTCATGGTTCCAATTTGAACCTATAGGTATCTTACCCAATCTCCAGACATCTTTTCATCTACCTCCTGAACTTCTCTTCCTGGGTGTCCTGTGGGCATCCTAACTTTGCCATGGCCCAAACTCAGTTCAGATCTACATGCTTGCATACTTATGCCTATCTTTCTGTATGCCCTCTCGTGGTTAATGACCCACCTTCCATCCTCTTATTCAGTTGACAGCTTCAAGATTATCGATGCCTCTTCCCTTTCCACAATTTAAGGCTTTTGTCTTCTCCCAAGTTGACGACTAGAAGAACCTTCTAACCAGTTTCACTATCTCCAGAGCCTCTGCCCTCCAAATCACTCTCTCCATTGCTACCAGATTTCTTCTTTTACACAGAAGTGATCATATTTTTCCTTTGTCTCGCAACCCATTTTGTCTTCTAATTAACCATAAGATAAAGTCCAGTTGCTCAGGCATGGCATATAAAACTCTTTATATCCTGGCCCAAACCTACGAAACTTTTCCAGTCCTACACCTTGCCTCTGCTCCCGACACACTCCTTGCTCTTACCCACATCAGAATATGACGCACCCTTTCTTGAACATGATTTTATTCTCTGTGCCTTCGCTGGTGCCTTGGATGCCCTTCTCCTGTTCTTTGACTTGTAAAAATCTCATCCACTCTTCAAGATCATGCTCTCTTGTCACTTCTATTTTCAGGTACCCTCTGGTCCTAATTGACAGTGCTCTCTTCATTGCTTCTAAAGTCTACAGAGCTATTGGTATGCTAGTACAGGTAGTCTAAAAGTTGTTTTGCATCTTTCCTACTACGTTGAGTTTCTTAAGGGCAAGATTAAGCTTTGTTTGTCTCTATATCATCAGCAGCTTGTCCAGTGCCTAGTACATGGTAGATACTTAATAAAAATTTATGATTTGAGTTGGGCAGGATGCTTGAACATCATTTTGTGAAAGGACCAGTGATTCCTTTCTGTATAATTTTCAGCCCCTTCTTCTTCAGTTATTGAAAGAATAGATGGCTGATGGGCCCACTTAAAATAGTTGCTAAGTTATAACCCCAATTTTTAGCTGAGTCTCTCTAGGGACATGGAAACTGTAATTTCTCAAATGACTGATTGGTGCCTGAGTATGGATTTTTCCAGATATCAGAGTTCTTGTAATGATTTTCAATCTAAGAAGACCTAGATTCTAGGTTTTACACACACACACACACACATTGTTTTGAATAGCAGATACAGGGTTTCAGTGTTTTAGTTTTACCCTCTGTGGGTTCTATCCCAACATCTCACTAAGGGCTGAGATTTCAGGGCATGAAAAACAGAATCAACAAAAACAAGGTTTTTACAGTCTCAAAACTTTGGAAAACTGCTGAGTTATCTTGAAAGCCTAGAGGGGGAGCATCAGTTAGAGGTTTTGTAGAGAATCCGGTGAAACAATATTGATGCTTAAGGCTGACCACTGTCATCCTCCTGAGTTAAACCCAACAGGACATGCTGGACTACACAGGAGACACTCGTGGACTCCATGAAGACCAGATGGGTAGTGTTCTTGAAATGAGCACGTCTATTTGTAAAACTCTGGTAGTAGCTTTGGAGTGGATGGGAAAGAGTTTGGCTCCAATTTCCCCTCAAAGACAATTATTTGCTTCTGATGAGAATCCAAGCAACAAGTGGCCATTGAAAATGCAGTGATTGGTCAGCAAACGAAGCCTACAGTAGGAAGAGCCTTCGGGTGCATTTACTGTGACAAATCAACCCGTCCTAAGCCCGACGCTTAATTACGAGACCTCTCAGCATCTCCCTCCCGCCTCGAGCCCCCTTTTGGCTTCTCACAAGGCTTCCTGGGTACGATTCCCCCACGCTAGAGTGAGTACTTGGGGTCTGGGCCCGTAGGGAACCCGTCAGCCTCCCTCCCGGAGCTGGCCTGATCGCGGCAAGGCGCCCACACTGCGCGGAGGCGGGAACCCAGGCGGGGTGGGGGGGGATAGCGCTGCGGCGCCACCCAGGCGCGCAGGGTAATGGCGTGGTCGTGCGCGGCTGTGGGCGCGGCCTAGGCCCCAGGGCGCCGGCTGACCTAGCGCGACAGCGAGGCCGCCCCCGTCGGCCCTCCCCCGGGCGGGGCTAGCCCCGAAGGCGCTGACTCAGCAACGCGAGGGGGGAGTTTTGTCCCTCCGCGGACCCCGTTTCTCCCGGCCTCAGACTCCTCGCCGCCGCAGCCGAGCCGGTTTTTTCCTTCCGGCGCTCCGGGTGTGCGAGGCAGGTCCGGCCACCTAGGCAGCGAGCCGCAGCGCAACCCCGGCGCTCGCCCGAGGACCCTGGAAGCTACCGTTACCCCGCCGGGCAGCGTGGGCGCCATGAGCAGCGCGGGTGAGGCGCCACCGTGGTCCTCTCTGGAGGAGCTCCGCGGTCCTCATGAGGCCCGGCGGCGGGGAAGGCTGGGGGCTGGGACCCGGTGCGATGGCGGGGAGGGAGCTTTCGGGGCAGGCTGGAGCGGCCTGGAGGGGCCTGGAGGGAGACAGCGCTTTGGAGGAGGACGCTGCTCCTGGGCTTCCCCGCTGCAGCGGGCACCTCAGGATGCGCTTACGAAGTTAGATCCGGGATGCGGGAGCCCCAGATCAGCCCTTTCCCCCAGCCTTTGGCGTTGAAATCCCGTTTGGTTTCCCAACAGGACTGAATTCGGAGAAGGTAGCTGCTCTGATACAGAAACTGAATTCCGACCCCCAGTTCGTACTTGCCCAGAATGTCGGGACCACCCATGACCTGCTGGATATCTGTCTGAAGCGGGCCACGGTGCAGCGCGCGCAGCATGTGTTCCAGCACGCCGTGCCCCAGGAAGGCAAGCCCGTCACCAACCAGAAGAGCTCAGGTGTGGGCTTCCACTTCTCCCGTACTTTCCTTGACCTTCCTGACAGCATCCCATTTTGCTGTCTTATTTACGAGTGATCTTAAGTTCGTACTGAAAGAACTGGTCGTAAATTCGTAGAGAATGAGGCTCAGGTACAGGCAGGTCTAAGAACATTACCAATGTGGTTTGTTTTAGTGTTCTGTGGCTTGTTAGCACATGCGATTAGAGTACTAAAGTGACAAGGCCGTGAGCATACGTTTGAGTGTAATTCACTATATTATGTCCTGATGTTATGTGGTTTGTAGCCCATGTCTTGCAGATAGATGGTCTTGGTCACAAAACAGAGCATTGCGGAAATGTTCATGTTCTTGGAGGACTCTCCAGAAATGCCCTGAAGGCCCTATACAAATTTATGAAGGAGAGATACAATGTAATTACATTAAAATGTCATCAGGTGTTACTTTTAAATATGCTCCTTGGTTACAGCTGAAGCTAATGTGCTGATGGGCTCAGTTCCCACCAGTAGATCGGTTTGTAATTGAGGAAAAAGTTCTGTTCTCATGTCTTACTGGTCAAGAAGTCTCGTTTTGCTCTCTACTTTCTAGCACCACTCTCAGAAAAACAGCTACAGTGAAAGATTGAATATCTAGGGATCTAATTAAGGAGCACATTCTCACCACAAAATTGTAGTAAAAGGATTTTTTAAAGTCTTTATCTAGTTAAAACGACTCCCAGTCCGTCTGTATGAACAGAAAGCACATTAGTGCTTGTTTACAGTCGGTCAGAACTCACAAAGCACACATTTCACATGAGTACATTTTATAGTATGTACGTTATACATCAACAAAGTTGATTTTTAAATGTTAAGGAAAACGTCAAGACCTTACAATAATTAATGTTTTGCTCTAGAAGAAAGTGCTTGCAGTGGTGTGAGCTCTCAAGCTACGGATGATCCAGTTGGTAATGTTACAGTGGTCCTACAGAGTTTAGATTGCAGTGATCTCTTAGGGAACAGGTCAGGCAGGTCTTACACATTTTGCAGTGTCACTTTCATATATACAAAAGTTCCAAATAGCATGTGAGCTGTGTACTTTATTTTCATGCAGTTTTCACATCACCAGTGCATCCAGATCCCTTCTACTAGAAATACGTAGCGTATAGAAGAGAGGTTGCATACAGGTAAATTTAAGGTAAAGGTGAACTATAGTAAGGCACTGGTGACTTTCAGAAAATACTATAGTTAACTTTAGAGTTTTCTTCTTGTTACAAAATTATTTTTGTTTCATGTAGAATATTTGCAAATACCAGGTGAATATTTTTCCTGTATATTTGTCAGGTCTGTGTGTGTGTGTGCGCCTGTGTGTGTGTGTTTAATGTGGGTTGATAGCTTATACATTGTTACGTAATCTACCTACTTTTTTCACTTACCAGTATATTATAAACATATTTTCATATCAGTAAAGTTATACCCAATACGACTCAAGGTTTTTCCCTCAGAATTTTCCTTCAGAGAAGAATTACCCTATATTTAAGACATTGAAGGCTTTTCTAATGGGTACTCAGTTAATTTATTTTGAAGTAGAGTACAATTTGGAGAAGACATTACTCTGAAAAAACTCAGATGAATACATTTTTGCATGCTTACAGAGGTCCTTTGATTGAATCAGCTTCTTTTAAAAGGTGACAAATTTGAATAAATTGATGTTACATATCGTTGTAAATAGACCTTTTAAATTAAGATCACTTAAGTCAGAGCAGGAAGTGGTGACGTGGAGTTTGTGATTATACACATACAGGACACATGAAGAATCTGATTGTGTAGTTGATGCTTGGTATAGAATTTTCAGTGACAGCATCATGCATGGATTCAAAACATTGCTGTGACTCAAACACACTAGATGGAAGAAAGATGACGTGTGCTGATTGAAAGAATGGATCTAATGATGGCACAGATACTGACTGCTAGGTACATATGAAGATTGAATCAGTGTGAAAATGAAATGTGAAGTGGGAAAAACAGTGCTTCTAAATCCATTTATTATGTTAACATGATTTTAAATCTAAAATACATTTAAATTACTAAAATATTGGCCAGATGTTGTGGCTCATGTCTATAATCCTAGAACTCTGGGAGGCTGAGGTGGGGTAGATCACTTGAGGTCAGGAGTTTGAGACCAGCCTGGCCAACATGGCAAAAGCCTGGCTCTACTAAAAATACAGAAATTAGGTGGGCGTGGTGGCATGCACCTGTAATTCCAGCTACTCAGGAGGCTGAGGCATGAGAATCAGGAGGCAGAGGTTGTAGTGAGCTGAGATTGCACCACTGCACTCCGTCCTGGGTGACAGAGTGAGACTCTGTCTCCAATAAAAAAAAAAAACTAAAATATTATGGGTAGACAATTTGCTATTCATATGTATCTTTAAGTGTTTGTAAAATTCAGTTAGGCAAATATCTGCCCTTTTTTTGACTTATCACTGGAAGAATGGAGTGTTGACTTATGTTAAGGTCAGCCTATATTGAAACATATTGAAATGCATATTCCAGATTAAAGGGTAGAGGCTTTTTATTCTTTCTTTATTTTTTGAGACGGAGTCTTGCCCTGTTACTCAGGCTGGAGTACAATGGCGCAGTCTCGGCTCACTGCAACATCTGCTTCCTGAGTTCAAGCGATTCTCATGCCTCAGCCTCCTGAATGGCTGGGATTGCAGGCATGTGCCACCATACCCAGATAATTTTTGTATTTTTAGTAGAGACAAGTTTTCACTGTGTTGACCAGGCTGGTGTCAAACTCCTAACATCAGATGATCCACCCACCTTGGCCTCCCATAGTGCTGGGATTACAGACGTGAGCCACTGCGCCCAGCTGGATGGGTAGGGCTTTTTAAAGCTTTTGCTAGGTATTGCCAAATTGCATTCAGATATTTTGTACCTATGTAGATTCCTATCCAGATTGATGATGATGCTTATTTCCCCAAATGAAATAAATGAAATGATGTTTCCCCACTTAACAGATGTCTTATCATGAACTTTTAAAACTGCTTCTACCGTTTGTATCTTTCTTGGCCACTGAGTGATGTGTTTGTGATCTCTGTTCATGGTTTTCTAGCATGTTTCTTTTTCTAATGTGATTTTCTTGGGTGATTTGTAATGGATTCTTTATTTGCTATGTAAAGAGTGTTTGCGTTAAAGATATTAAACCTTTGCATATATATTGCTAGAAATACCACCTTTCTTTTTTTGTTTTGTTTTTAATTTTTCTGCTCTTACTGATTTACTCTTTCTGAATTGTCCAGATTGTGTCATGAGTTCATTGTTGGAAAATAACAGTTGGAGCAATGCTATCTGTGTGAACCCTCATAATTTCTTGATGTGCTTTCTTGTTTCAGGGCGATGCTGGATCTTTTCTTGTCTGAATGTTATGAGGCTTCCATTCATGAAAAAATTAAATATTGAAGAATTTGAGTTTAGTCAATCTTACCTGTTTTTTTGGGACAAGGTATGGGACTGATCTGGCAAGATTCTTTTTGTATTGATATCGGCCTCAGTAGGAACTGCCTCTTCATTTGTTGCTTTTCCAGTTTCAGCCTGCCCTTTCATGATAGGTGAAACACCTTTCATTCTGACTTCCAGAATATCAAAAGTTGACTCTTTCAAAGGCAGAACTGTTTTTGGTTAAGTGACTATTTTTTGCAATGAAATAATAAACTTACTGACTTAACCTTACTGCTTGTCTATTTGAAATTTTGAATTTTATATTCAATATTCAATTGAATATATCTCCCTTTCTAACATTTTTTTAGGTTATTTGTTCTTTTCTAGGACCTAATTTTCCTTCTCTAGTACTTGTCTGAAAAAGAGTAAATGATTTTATTTATTTATTTATTTTTGAGACAGGGTCTCACTCTGTTGCACGGGCTAGAGGACAGTGGCGCAGTCTTGACTCACTGTGACCTTTGCCTCCCGGGTTTAAGCCTTCCTCCCAACTCAGCCTCCTAAGTAGCTGAAATCACAGGCGCATGCCAGCAAGCCCAGTTAATTTTTGTATTTTCAGTAGAGACAGGGCGTTTCACCATGTTGGCCAGGCAGGTCTCGAACTCCTGACCTCAAGTGATCTGTTTGCCTCGGCCTCCCAAAGTGCTGGGATTACAGACGTGAGCCACTGTGCCTGACCATATTCCTTTTCCTAATCTTCAAAACCCATATTACTAACCTGGTTTAGTGACTCATGCCTGTAAGCCTATAATCCCAGCACTTGGGAGCCTGAGGTGAGAGGATTGCTTCAGCCCAGGAATTCGAGACCAGTCTGGACATAGCAAAACCCTGTCTCTACAAAAAATAAGGGAATTAGTCAGGTGTGGTGGTGCACACCTGTACTTCCAGCTACTCAGGGGGCTGAGGTAGGAGGATTGCTTGAGCCAGGGAGGTTGAGGCTGCAGTGGTACTGCACCACTGCACTCCAGCCTAGGCAACAGCATGACCCTGTCTAAAAATAAGAAAATCTATATTACATAAGTGTTCATGAAATGTTTATTGATTAAAGACTCTAAATACCAGGTTTTGTTTTAATATTGGAATATAAGCACTGTACACATATACATAATATATTGGGATACATACACAGGTATAAGAAGAAACTTCCAATATTCTGATGAAATCAGATATAATGTTTAATTACCAATTTTAGTTTAAAAGTACTTATTATGGTGCTTGTTTCAGCATCACATATACCCAAACTAGAATGATACAGAGAAGATTAACGTGGCCTCTATTGGATGACATGCAAATTCATGAAATATTTTTAAAAAAGAAAAAAAACTATTATGTTGGTTCCATGGTAATTACAAGACTCCCATTCTGTTGATAATGCCAATAAAATTATTGGCTCTTTTTTCTTTTAATTTTATTTAACTTTCTTTACTCTTTAGGTTGAACGCTGTTATTTCTTCTTGAATGCTTTTGTGGACACAGCCCAGAGAAAGGAGCCTGAGGACGGGAGGCTGGTGCAGTATTTGCTTATGAACCCTGCAAATGATGGTGGCCAGTGGGATATGCTTGTCAATATTGTTGGTAAGAGTTCTTTCTTTAATGGAACTGAAATTCAGTATGATTAAGTAAGCCTCCATAGTTAGGCACGGGCCATTTCTTTGGTGGTTACGTACAGAGTAGAATTGGTCTCCAAGAAGGATATATAGTTACTTCTAAGGACCTTTATTTCCCATTCTCATCTGTAGAGTGACTTTCTTAAATGAGGGGTAAGGAGATAGCTACTGTGAAGGTTGGGCTGGAAAAGAAAAGGCAGTGTTAAGTAGAACTAACCTTCCATGAAAAAGCTGTTGTCCTTTCCATTGATGTAATCAAGAAACACATTAAAACTGCAGCTGTTTAAAAATATCTTCAAAACATTATCTTTTGGGGAAATCTCATCATGCTGAGCACTTTACAGAAGTATGATAGATACACTTGATCTTGACTAAAAGGATGAGAAGTGACAAAGTATCGTAGATAAAAAGAATAGAATTAAATCTAGCATAGACAGATAAATATGCACATTAAAAACCTGCTTAGGCTTTGTGAGTTGGCTCAGGCATCCTAGCACGTTGGGGAGGCCAGGGCAGGAGGATTGCTCAAGCCCAGGAGTTTGATACCAGCCCGGGTAACATAGTGGGACCCTGTCTCTATAGAAAATAAAAAAAAATTAGCTGGGCATGATATCATGCACCATAGTTGCAGCTACTCAGGAGGCTGGGCCTGGGAGTTTAAGGCTACAGTGGGCCAGGATTGTGTCACAGCACTCTAGCCTGAGTAAGAGTAAAACTCTGTCTTCAAACAAGCAAAAATCCCTGCTTAATGATATGAAGTATAGGATTTTCAGAATTAAGCCAGCAAAATATGGCCTAATTTTTAAAACAATCACTATTTTTGGCAGGGTTTCTAATCTTTTACCTTATTGAGCACTGGAAATTTGTTTTCTTTCAGAAAAATATGGTGTTATCCCTAAGAAATGCTTCCCTGAGTCTTATACAACAGAGGCAACCAGAAGGATGAATGATATTCTGAATCACAAGGTACAGTGTTTGAAGCAGGGTTGGATTGAATACTTAAAGTACTTAGTAGTGTACTTTCCTTAAAACTTATTTTTTAAAAAGGGTTCCTGGGTATACAGTGTATATAGTTTGTATACAGGATAACTACTGATGTCAGTGTCTGTCAAAAGCAATGTAGCTACATATTAAGTTTAAAAATAGTTAAAATTAGAGGGTTTTTCCTTATAAAAAACTTCCACCTTTATTTCTGTTGATTTTAATGTTTTCTTAGGGGAATATTTAGGAAATAAAGTCCTATGTCCAATTAATATTGGCCACAAGGACTTAGGGTGTTGTGTCTCTCACTTGGTTCTAGTGGAGATGGGCTAGAACTCCTTTATATGCTAGTAAAACCAAAAAGAACTATTTGCAAGATGCCTGTAAAGTGGGTGCTGTGTTCTGAGACTTCCCCAGACCACATCAATGTGGTTTATTCACCCACTAAAGATTTGATGCAGTTACTGAACTGCTTTTTATTTGCTTCAGTTATCTTAATGAATCATTGTGTCTTCTCTACATAACCAGTTTTCCCAAGGAGAATTATAATTCCTGCAGGGATGCGGCTTTGCTAGCCAGGCATCCTTTTTGAGAACTGCGAGTTGCCAGAATCTGCTGTCCTAATCCATGAGGCTAAAATGGGATTTTTCATCTTCCTGGGAGAAAGATTACATTTTAAAATAAACTATAGATGTGTTTCCCTAACATTAGAAGTAGGTTGTTTTGTACCCTGGAATCACTTTTAGCTTTTATTCAAAGGCTAAAAGATCATTAATAAAATGGCATTTGATTCTATTTGAAGTGGGAGCAACATCTTCTTTAGCACTGTAGTTAGATTTCAGTTTATCTTGGGCAGCTAAAAAAAATGAAAATTTTACTGGAGGATGGCATAACCATGGTCATCGTCAATTGGCAAAGAAGGAAAAATGGACAGCTATTGAAATTCTAAGTAAAAATCTACCAGAGTGACTTACTGGCATAATTATCTTGTCTCCTGCTTTTTCTGAGTGATAGGCATTATATAATCAGATGTTTTTCCCATGCCTAGGCACATAAAACATCTTTATGTGATATTTGCAGCGCAGGAGCAGTTCCATCTAGTACTTTGGAGGAATAATTTATGCCTTTTCTCCTTATGGAAAGTATTTTTTAGCTATGCGTTTAAACGGACAAGTTGAAGAAAAACATTTGCGCTTATGAACTTTGCATGAGTATGGTTTGAGTTATATATCAATTAAAATTAAATAGAACTAGCGTTGGTCTATGAGGCTCATTTACAATTGAATTTGGGTAACTATTGGAGTACTGAATAAGTTTCTATCATAGATGAGAGAATTCTGTATACGACTAAGGAACCTGGTACACAGTGGAGCCACCAAAGGAGAAATCTCGGCCACACAGGATGTCATGATGGAGGAGGTAATAACAAAATTTGGATTTTCTGTAACCCTTCTAAAGAACTCTCAGAGTGTTCCCATCTGTTAAATTAATGATTAGGAAGCATAAGTCATGAAAACAAATGTTTAATTGAATTTAAAATCACTTATTTTACAGCTGAAAAAACTGAGCTTAAAACTTACTTTGCCTTTTAGTATATGACTTGGACTTAAGTTTTCAAATTCCTAGTTTAGTGGTTTGTATAATCATTCTTTTATCATTTCATAAATATTAAAAACCTTTTATGAGTTTGGCACTGAGGAAACAGATGAGAAAGACATAGTCACTGCTCTTAAAGAGCTCAGTCTCTTGGGAAAAAGAAAACATCTATAATTATAATAAATCCTGTGCTAGATGTGTAAAAACTGATTTGGTGGTCATAGAGGAAGGAGTGACTAGCTCAGTGAGCTGAAGGTTACATAGGGAAGATATTTGAACCACCTGTTGAAAGAGTAGTCAGAATTTACCAGGTAGATAACAAGGAAGACCATTCTAGGCAAAAGGAATTGTATGAATAGTGTCATGAACAAAGATAGAATCTTCAGGGAATAATGTGGCTGAAACATAACTTGTGTCAGTATGATGGGTAGCAAATTAAGCTAGAAAGGAGAGATGTAAGGGATGTTGAATGGATGCCAGAACTTTTGGCTTTTTTCTGTGTTAGTAAAGATGAGGAGCTGTTGATGGTTATATTTGTTAAAATAATGTATTTAAAAACATTTTGGAAAATGTAAAAAGCACTAAACAAGTAGGAGGTGGTAATGTTATTTATGATCAAGACAGTTAAGAATTTTTATTATTAATACATCTATATCCAGAATGAATATACATAAAACTGAAATTGGTTTGAGGAAAGGATAAATGTTTCCCTTTGCCAGCCAGTGGGCCCTTTATTAGGCTTCCTTTCAGGACTGTATGGGATTAAGATGGCCTACTTTTTTTCACTGCAATGGAGAACACTGATGCTTCACTCATGTTATCCTTTAAATTTTAGAGAGGCAGCATAGTGGAGTAGTGGAGTATGTTATCTTTGGAATCAGGCTGTCTGAGTTTTAGTCTTCTCATTACTTAGTAGCCATATATCCTGGGACAAGTTCCTTAAGCTCTAAAGGCTCAGTTCAGGTTTAATGTGTCTAGCCTAGTGTTTTACTCAATAGCTGTTTCTTAAGTATTTGTTAAGTGAACAAACGCAGAAATTTCATTTACCAAATGCATTTAAATAACCTCATTTTTATATCAAATTCTTATGGAAGAGAGGCATCTTAGTATAGTAGGAAAAAATAGGCTTTGAAGTCAGACATACATGGGTTTAAATTCTGGCTCTTTTGCTTAACAGTCTGTCATCCTAGGTAAGTTAGTTAACCTGTCTGAGGTTCAGTTCAGGATCTAAAATATTTTCCTTACTGAATTTTTGGGGAATCAAATAAGGGATCAAGTAAGCATGCCGGCATAGTGCCTGGCACATAGCAGGAATTCTGTAAATGTTACTTCTCTTCCCTTCCTGCTTGGAATGATCTGTCTTGCAGAGGCTGTATCTCCTACATAATTTGCCTTTATTTAGGCTTAGATTAAGATGATGGGGGTATAGTAGGAATGTTATGGAAAAGGGCCCAGGTAATACTGCTGTAGATTGTAAGCATCCATTTGGCCTTTGATGTTTTCTTTAATGGTCTTTGAGCTAATGATGTGTCTAAGATTCATGTCCTTATCATTGGTAGAGTATGATAATTGGCTGATAAGAATTAGGGCAGATACGTTTCACATATTATTTTCCTCCCCTACTCCTGCCTCAGAGAAATAGTAAGATCCCACTTTACCAAGTCCCTCATATGAATGTTTTATAGGATTTTAATGATGCTACCTAAACTATTTACTACAGAATTTTGTGTGTAAGGGTTTTTTCCCCCTTAGAGACAGAGTCTTGCTTTGTTGCCCAGGCTGGAGTGCAGGGGCGCAGTCGTAGCTCCTGGGTGCAAGTGACTCTCCTGCTTCAGCCTCCCAAGTAGCTGGGACTACAGGTGCATGCCATCATGCCTAGTTAATTTTTTTAAAACACTTTTGTGGAGATTCAGTCTCATATGTTTCCTGGGGTAATCTCCACCACCTGGGCTCAAGCAATCCTCCCACCTCAGCCTCTCAAAGATTGCAGGTATTATAAGCATGAGCCACCACGCCTGGTCCTGTGTATAAGGTTTTAAAATTTTTACAATCCCCCAAATGACTCCTTTTTATTGAACCTGACTCTTTGGTAATGAAGAGTCTAGTTGCAGTTTTAAAGCCACAAATTAGTACCTATGATTTGCCTAACCTTGTAGGCAAGTCAAAATAATGACTTAATTAACAGCCTTGAAGCTCAGGTGGCTTTGAATTTATTCAAACACATTTTAATACGCTTATGCTAAAGGCATTCTTACTGAGAGAAGTGAGGTGCAGGCTGCTTGTTGAGATGACCGACAAGGCAGATTTGTTTTAGAGCTGTGTAGTCACCTCTATTGCAATGTTATTTCAGTGTCCATTTTTTTAGCCTGCAGATCCCCTTAAGATTATTAATATATTCTCGGTTGGACACAGTGGCTCACGCCTGTAATTCCAGCACTTTGGGAGGTTGAGGCAGGTGGATTGCTTGAGGCCAGGAGTTTAAGACCAGCTTGGCCAACATGGCAAAACCCTATCTCTACTAAAATAAGAAAAAAATAGCTGGGCGTAGTGGTAATGACAGCTGCTTGAGTGGCTGAGATGTGAGAATCACTGGAACTCTGCAGGTGGAGGAGGCCAAGATCGTGCCACTGCACTCCAGCCTGGGTGACAGAGTAAGGCTCTGTCTCAAAAAAAAAAAAAAAAAAAAAAAAAACCCAGGACCCAAAATCCCTGTCTGTTAAAAAGCAAAACGTAGCCAGGTATAGTGGTGACACTTGTAATGCCAGCTACTTGGGAGGCTAAGGCAGGAAGATCACTTGAATCCAGAAGCCCAGGAGTTCAAGTGCTACCTGGGCAACATTGTGAGACCTCATCTCTAAAATCAGTCAATCAAAGACCCAAAACAATGTTTGTCATTGCCACAAAAAGGGAAAAGAAGCCATTATGATTGACTTAGGAAATTCTACAGCAATGGCTCTTGCTATTAAAAACAATACGTAGTTCTAACTTGTCCCAAACCCACAAAGTCAATTTCCCTGAGAATAGAACCTAATTATCTGTATTTTTATTTTAAAGGCATCTTTGATTAAAAAGTACATTTTTAACATCAAATATATAAAATGTTTGGGTTTGATGGCATATACTACACAGGAGGCTGAGGTGGGAGGATCACGTGTGCCCAGAAGTTCCGGGCTGCAGTGAGCTATGATTGTTACCATTTCACTCCAGCTTGAGTGACAGAGCAAGACCTCGTATCAGAAACAAAAAAATTTTCAGAGTATATTTTGGAAGTGAAGCTGTCAGGACTTGCTAATGAATTGGATGTGGAGGACAAGGAAAAGGGAAGGAAGTATTGGGATAATGTCCTGGGATCTTGAAGGGTGAGCTTATAGATAGGAAAGAAGGCTTTTGGCAGTTACGGCAGTGTGAGGGAACCAGTATGTAGAAAAGATTAGCAGGTGTGAATGAGAGAAATAATAATTAAAGAAGCAAGGTTTTGGAAGAGGGAAAGGATAGATGTGGTCTAAAGTAGTGCCATGAGACTTCCATGTGCACATGAATCACCTTGGGATCTTGTTAAAATGCAGATTGATTCAGTAGGTGTAGGGCGAGGCTAGATAGTCTGCATTTCTATTTCCTGATATAAACACCTCTAAAGTAATCTCAAGATCATTATTTAACTGAGTTATCATCTATGTGGGTTCATTCTCTTTAACATCACAGAAGTGCATAAAGTGTACTTTTTTTTTATTTTTTGAGATGGAGTTTCCCACTTGTTGCCCAGGCTGAGTGCAATGGCATGATCTCGGTTCACTGCAAACTCCGCCTCCTGGGTTCAGGCAATTCTCCTGCCTCAGCCTCCTGAATAGCTGGAATTACAGGCATGTGCCACCACACCTGGCTAATTTTGTATTTTTAGTAGAGACGGGGTTTCTCCATGTTGGTCAGGCTGGTCTCAAACTCCCAACATCAGGTGATCTGCCCGCTTTAGCCTCCCAAAGTGCTGGGATTACAGGCGTGAGCCACCACGCCTGGCCTAAAGTATACGTTTTTAGGTCTGTCTGTGCCTGAAAACACATTTAATGCCTCCAGAGGCATCTGCTTTTCTGCCTGCTCTTGCAGGCATAGGTGATTTTAGTTTTTTTTTTTTTTTAAAGAAGCAGATCTTTGCCCTTCTTTCATTGCCTGCCAGAAAGTAGTAGAGAGCTGTCTTCTCTTCTCCCCTTCCTCTGTGAGTAAACAGTCACTATGGTAGGTTCCTTACTCCTCTCCTATAACTAGCTCATTTACCCACAGCACTGCACTTTCTTCAAAGTTGAGCTGTTTTCTGTGACTGCTTTAGTGTTCTTGTGACCATTCTATTCTTTGATCAATAGGCCGTTTTACCTTTGAGACTACTTTCTCCATCAGTAAAACTGAAAAAGTTGGGGTAGACTGTGCACAGTGGATCATGTCTATAATCCCATTGCCTTGGGCGGCCAAGGGAGGACTGACGATCACTTGAGCACAGGAACTTGAGACCAGCCTGGGTAACACAGAGACCCCATCTCTACAAGAAATGAAAAAATTAGCTGGATGTGGTGGTCCATTCCTGTAATCCTAGCTACATGGTAGGCTGAGGCTGTAGGATCACTTGAGCCCAGGAGTTCAAGGCTGCAATGAGCTATGATTGTACCACTACACTCCAGCTTGGGCAATAGAGTGACACCCTGTCTCTTAAAAATTTTTTAAGAAGTTGGGGCAAATGATTGTATGGCTTTACATTTTTATACAGTAGCATTAATTAATATTTTTACAGTGCTTTAGACTTTACTGTATTAGAGTTTCTCAGCAAACCAGTATTA